GGGGGGGGATCAGGTCAGTATATCTTCTTTATTCCGGCCCCTAGACGAGCAGTTAACCCTTGCAGCGCAGGCGTACCCCCCACTGCGAGGTTTAACCGCGTCCATTCCGGGACTTCCCCTTTAATACGAGTTGTTTTTTTTTTTTAAACAAAATGACAACGTGGAACTTTCAACGCATTTCGGGGGGCCCCCATCACCTCCCCCTTCCTCGGGGGCCACAACACACATTTCTATATTGGGGTCAGGTGATGAGGAGGAACTTCTATATCAAATATATATCAACAGATCAATACAACGATCAGAAAAGATGATGGGTGATTGATATGATATTGATGATTGATGGAGATGGTGATTGATTGAGATGATTGATAGGATGATGATTGATTGATTTATTGATTCGCTGATGAGAACAATAACGATAATAATTATTGATAACGATCAATATCGGCTATTTCTATTTGATTGGATCATTTCATATACACACATCAAATTCTGATCTTTATTGATCCTCCTCCTCATCACCTGACCCAATCTAGAGATGTATATGCGTGTGTGGCCCTATGGAAGGGGGAGGTCTTAGAGCCCTCGAAACGCGTTGGCTGCTCTGTGTATATGTTGGACTCTCTGTTTGGTCCTCTCATTAGACTTTATACACAGATTTTGGACAGGGCGACACAGGAGAAGCCTCTAGCACTCTCCCGCTACATGGCAGAAGACGAACAGTCTCTTGTCGAGGTTCAGGAAGACAGTTTCCTGAAGCGCCTCAGCAGTCTCTAACAGCTTGCTGTGATGTGCCGGCAGCTTCAACACTCCCTTAACGTGGCAGGAGACTGCGCAACTCTCTTGTTGAGTTTCAGCGGGCTCTGACATGTCAGCAGTCAGAACGGTCTCTTGTAACGCAGCAGAAGACTCCGATTCTCTCCCCGGGACGCGTTCGCGGCCTCTGATTGTCTCTGGTGATATCACAGCAGAGGTGGAATATTTGGAGGAGAGATGTCACAGAGCGTCCCCTTCCCAACCTGAGACCTGACGAGAGGTCAGTGACAGTTACACAACGCGTGTGCCATACAGAGGTCAGCGTGTACACGGGAGGCGTCATTAACCCCTTCCAGACAAGAGGGGAATTCTACTTCCGGGGGGCCAGAGACCCCTCTCCATGGAAGCGCCAGCACATCGCTGAAGAGGGGCGCGGAGGAATTATATAAACAGCGCTCCTGTGTCATGTGATCATCAGCTGACAGTCGAGGTCTGCAAATTAACCCCCCCCCCACCCTGCTGCATGACCACCGCGACCACTCTCCATCCCATTACACATACCCCAGGGGAGACCCTACCATACAATCCCCCTAATATATCCCCTGATCACTCCCCCCAGATACGTCCCTATACCCCAGTATATACCCCCTGATCACACCCCCAGTATATACCCCCAGATACATCCCCCCTATA